CTGCCTCTTCTGTTGGCCATTTTGTGCAGCTGCTTAGGGGAACTCCTAAGCCACTAAAAGTCCTCTTCCCTGCTCTTAGCAGATCTCGCCTTAGGAGCCCTTTTAAGCGCTAGGAATCTTGAGGAATAGCTTTTATATTAACTGAGATTGTCGCGTCACTTTTAGGGGAAATTCTAAGAAAACGTCATGACTCTGAGAATTTTCTTAGAATTTGGCCGCTAGGAGCCACTTTTTGCACAAAGATTCTTTAGGGATACGGCCCAGGCATGCAAGCAGGCGGCGGAACAAGCTAGTGCAGGGGAAAAACAGGCAGGGAGACGAAGCCTGAACATAAAGCTCAAGCAGCGTTAATCTAGAGCAGGGGTGTCGAGCTCCAGGCCTCGAGGGCCCGTGTTCTGCAGGTTTTAGATCTCACCCTGGGTCAACACACCTGAATCAAATGATGAGTTCATTACCAGCCCTCTGTAGAACTTCAAGACATGTTAAGGAGGTAATGTAACCATTTAAATCAGCTGTTTTGGATCAAGGACACATCTAAAACCTGCAGGACACCTGCCCGCGAGGCCTGGAGTTCAATGCCTGTGATCTAGATAATCGTTCTGCAAAACATCACTTACCATTTGTGGAAGTGACAATATTCCAACACCAGACGTCCGTCACACAGCTCTTTAAATGCTCCTTCTGATGACATCTGATGTGCCACAGGTGTGCCGGGATCCCGCAAAGCACCACCCCACCTACCTGTGCCGAAAAAGGGAAACAAAACCCAAGAACACCACACATATGCCCACCAGCTCCTAATAAGTGGAAGAGAGAAAAGAATTTAGAGTTTATTGGAAAGGTGCAGGAAGCCATTTTTAAAGTTGAAGAACGGTGAGATAAGCGGGGATTTAAATTTGCAGTGGATAAGACCAAGACAATGTTTTTTACAATAAAAAGAATTGTTAAGGACATTAAACTAAAGTTAAATAAGCAAGAACTAGAAAGAGTGAAACTATTCACATTTCTTGGGGTTTTGTTTGATGAGAGGGTTACATGGACAATATATGTTCAGAAAATTATAGACAAATGCAAGAAAGTGTTAAACATCATTACGGGATGTTTGGAAGCTCTCCAGTGGGTTGAAGACACAAGACCATTAAGATCAGTAATTTGTTCAGATTCCTGTTCATCATGAGTAGCCATCCATTCAGAAAATAGACCAGACATCCCAATAGAAATCCAACAAACACTATACAGAGTAAGGATGACGGGACTAGTAATGAACTTTTTATGGATATCAGCACATTATGATGTCAGGGGAAATGAAGTGGCAGATAATGCTGAAAATGAGGCCACTGGAAAAAGATTAGTGGAGTTAATTATCAGCTTTGGTAAAAAAAAGAAAAAAAGAAAGAAAGAAAGAAACAAAGAAAGAAAGAAAGAAAAAAAAAAAAAGAAAGAAATAAGAAATATATTAAAACAGAAAATGGTGGAGAGATGGCAAAAATGATAGGAGAAAGAAAAGACGATGGTTTTATAAAATTGGATTTCGTTGATTTACTTAGAAAGTTATCAGGCGATTTTTAATTATCGTAAACAAACGTATTTGCATGATAGGATCGAATCCTTAAGTGAGGTTTCGGTTCACACTCCATACCAATTGGTGGCGGCAATGCACCAGTTCGTTGTTTGTCATCCGCCAATAAGCACAAAGAAGAGAAAGAAGAAGAAGCCGGACGCGGCGCTTTGGTGAATTTGCCCCCTCCGTGGCAGCAGGGGGCGCACTGCCAAGCTAGCTTTAATCCATCATGACTGTGGAAACTTCCGTTTCCGAGAGCCAGGGAGCCGCAACATCAACATCCACAGACAGATTCAGTTAATAGCTTAAAAGTCTTAACGTTAAAAGCGGTAAGGTTTCTGTTAGCTGTAGCTGTTGTTGACAGTATTACAGAGTAGTTGCACCAAATTACGGGATCAGAATGAAGTTGATCGGCATTTAAAGCTGGCGTTAGCAAATGGCTAGCGTTCTCCTAACCTTACAGTCACTCATTTAATCAGAATGTTGGTGAATTGAAATGTTACGAGGTCATTTGGGTTTGTTTCTTTCTTCCTCCCATCTCTTTGGGCGAGATAGTATCAGAATGATAAGCACTGAGAGAGTTACCTGATATCATTTGATCTAGCCGGCTTTGTCGTTTACCCAGTTACTTTCATTTGAGACACACAGTTTCCTTCGGTTAGAATGAGAATATTTTTTATTCCTATGTTTGTTTCAGGAGTCCGACGATGTCGGGGCAAAAGCGTCCTGCCGACCCCAGCGGCCCTTCGTCCTCCGGTGCGCCGCCAGAGAAGCGCAGGGAGCGTGAAGGAGAGGACGGAGGTGCCGGAGTCAGCGCCGCGGCCGGAGGGAGCACCGCGGTGGAGACTGTCATTAAACTGGGAGGGGTGTCCAACTCTGTGAGTCCCCATCTATTATCCACTCTACCCTTAATATATCTATTAGCAGCCGTCTTCTCGTATTGTGGCTAAGTTTTCTTCTTTGTGCAGTCATGTTTCAATCAAATCTTTTTCAGGAAGAACAAGACATCAAAGCTCTCCAGACTAAGAACAGAAAGTTGGGAGAATCTCTCGATCAAAGACAGGTAAATTCATTCGCCGGTGTTGTTTTCTAACTCATCAGACTGTAGAGGCTGCACTTGTTTCTTGTCTTGTTAATCTAAAAGCTTTTGATCTCCTATCTTGTTGCGTGCAGGTGATTGAGGATGAACTTCGAGAGCGAATTGAGAGATTAGAGACCCGGCAAGCAACAGATGATGCCAGTCTTCTGATCCTGAACAGATACTGGAACCAGGTGACCCCTCTGTCAAAAAATTATCATTAACAAATATCTTCTGTATGAAGATGTAAAAATCCAAATATTATGCTGTTTGGTCTCTTTCAGTTTGATGAAAACATTCGGCTGATCATCAGGCGTTACGACCAAGCAAGCAGTGAGCCTGAGAAATCTCCAACGGGCGAGGGGCGGAGCCTGAAGCCAGAAACTCCAGAACCCGATGGCGACTCCAACCAGGAGAGAGCCAAGGACCGAGGTAAGAACAGAACTTACCAACGAATCATCACTTTGAAAGCAGTGACGTTAAAAAAAACCAAAAACGGAATCTGTTATGTGGCTGTCATCCAGGCCATCAAGGAGAGACGAACAACTCCTTCCTGGCCACGCTGGCTAGCAGCAGCAGTGAGGAGATGGAGGCAGAGCTTCAGGAGAGGGTGGAGTCTAGCCAGAAGCAGGCTACCCGTGTGCTGGAGATCTATGAATCTCTGAAGAACACTGTGGCTCAGCTCAAGGCTGAGTTGGACTCTGGAGCTGGTGAGATTCAATGTTTTGACGTTTTCTGTGAAGTTTTTCAGTGAGACAATGAGATTAAATGTGCGTGCATTAGATTTTCTTTAAATGGGATGCTGTTGCTTTTCATTCCAGAGGGCAGTCTGTGGGTGGTAGCATCCAAACTGAACACTCTCCTGACCAGTGAAAACGAGCGGCTTCAACAGCTGACAGAGGACCTCAAACAGAAGTACTCACACATGACGAGCGAGGTATGAACTGCGTCTTGAATTGGATTAATCCTCAGATCCAACTAACTTTTACACTTTTTAACACACTTGTTTTGGAGATAATATAAACTTCTTGAATGATTTGGTCATAAAGACTTGATTATTTTTATTTTTTTCTCAGTAGTTAATTCTTTGGGGTTTTTTCTGTCGCTTAGTCCCGGCTTCTGGCACGGGCGGCTAACAAGGCCGACCAGCGCGTCAGCGAGGTGCAGGCTTTGATCGAGGAGCTGCAGTGGGACATGGAGAAGATCCGCCGGCGGGAAAACAGACTGAACGCACACTTGAGCGAGATACTGGAGAGGGTGAGGATTGCGCAGGCTGATTAGAAGCAGGGAAATATCAGGAGATTATTTGTATGTTGTAACACTTCCTGTGTACTCCAGGTAAACAGCAAAGGCTACAAAGTGTGTGGCGAGGCCAGCAGTGTGTGTGGGACCATCACTATTAACAAGAGAAAGGTAGGATTTCCTTTTAAAGTTAAAGAGCAGCTTTTTGGACGGCAAAAAAAACTATAGTGTGAGCATTTTTGTACTTTTCCCTGACACAGTTTGAGGAGATGAACAGTGAGCTGGAGGAGAACAGAGAGCTGGCGGAAAATCGTCTCATTGAGCTGCAGAAGCTCGAGCAAGACCTGCAAAATGTTCAGCAGGAGAACGGCAGCATGAAGGTGCTTGCACTGAACGCAGCATTGTTTTGACATTGGTTTTAGTCGCTTGTGATTTATGAGCACTTTTAAAGTCCACTTTCATGAAACCAAACAATTAAACTACTAATTTACCATCGTGTAAAAATGCTTTTTACTGGAAGCTAATTAAAAATGAGTGGATTTCACATGAGTGTAACAGAAATGTGAGGAGGTAAAGTCAGTTTTTACACCAGAGTCTTTCTGATGAACCCCAAAAATGTGATGGAAATTATTCAGCAGCAAATATTTTTCTCTCTGTTTTGTTGACTTTTCTCATTACCTCTGTTTTGCTCAGACGGAGCTGCTGAACCGAGCTGAAAGCTTGGTGAAAGAAACCGCAGAGTATCGCTGTCTGCAGTCACAGTTTTCTGTGCTCTACAACGAGTCTCTGATCCTCAAGGCTCAGTTAGATGAGACACGCGCTCGACTCAACACCACGAGGACGGCACGGCTACGACAGCTCGAGCACATGGAGGTAGGTTGTGTGTTTGGGCGGTTTAGTTTGTCTTCGTCACACCTCGTCTTACTCTCATCTTCTCTGTGTGCAGAATGATGAGGTGACTCTGCAGAGGAAGGTGCGCACAGAGGTGTTTCAGTTGGAGGACACACTGGCGCAGGTCAGGAAAGAGTATGAGATGCTGCGCATCGAATTTGAGCAGACTCTCGCTGCCAATGAGCAAGCAGGTAACTGATGGAAGTTTTGACATTAAAAGTGAATGAGATGCATTATTTGTATTTGTATTTGAACCAAAACCTTCACCCTTGACTTCCTCTTACTTCATTCAGGTCCCATTAATAGGGAGATGCGACACCTGATCAGCACGTTGCAAACTCACAACCAACAGATGAAGGGAGAGGTGGTGAAATACAAGTTGAGACTTAGAGAAGCGCAAGCTGAGCTCAACCAGGTGAGTGAGATGGAGGCAAGAAGAGAAATGAAACAATGATGGCGTGCTTTCACAGTCACATCTTTTGGGTTGGGTGAAGTGAAGCAGAACATGATGGCACAATCTGTTACCCTCATAGGTTCGCGCTTCAAAGGGCAACGCCCCCCTCCAATCTCAGTCCAGCACAGAGATGGATGTGAAGGAGGAAACGACTTCTCCATCAACGCTAGCTGTTTCTGGGGAACCTGTGGTCAAGACGGAGCCTGACAACGGCTCCTCCACACCCAGCAGCACAGGTAACTCCCAGCTTAGCTAACTAATTCTAAAAGATGATCTCATTTTATGTAGCTTTATTTTAGATAGCGTTTTATTTTTTCGCTAATTAGCCTGTCCCAGTTTACAATTCCTCCATGGCTTTCTCGCATCGTCTTTCTACAGGTGCCTCAGTGAAAACAGAGTCTGGTATAGAGCTCGAGGCAACTATAAAGGAAGAGGAGAAGGAGGAGAAGAAAGAGAAGGAAGAAAAGAAAGAAAAGGACATTATAAAGAAGGAGGAAAAAGAGCGAGAGAGGGAGAAAGAGAGGGAAAAGGAGAGGGAGAGGCCGACCCGGAGCAGCGGGAGCAGCAGCAGCAGTAGCAGCAGCATGATAAAGGAAGAGAAGGAGAAACCAGGGAGCAGCAGCCAGGCAGAGGAGTTGGCCGGGGAGCGTCTCTCTATGGTTGGAGGGTCAAAGAGGAAGGAGATGGAGCAGCTGAAGATCGTCCGCACAGAACTCAAGTAAGATACATTAGTGATTTTTATTTATTTATTTTAAGCTGTGTCAGAGATTATTCATCCATGCAGGATTTTTTCTGCTTTTCTTTTTTTTTTTTTGCACACACATGAATTAAAATTATACATTATAAAGAGACATATGACCAAGATATTGGAAGCTGGAAAAATATTTGTAAACTGTAAGTACTCAAACAGTCCATTATCATATTTTTTGTTTCCTCAATCTTATTTTGGAGGGCTTGATTTCAGTGTTACACCTTTGTGTTCATATTTTCATATTATAGTATTATATATATGCTTCATATGTCACAGTTGTCAGAGTACGGTGGAAACATGTATACTTTCATTGTTGTTGTGGATCTTTTGTTCTGCGGGTCAGCTTCAGGCTGCAAACGTCATGTGATTCTTTGAATCAACAGCAGTAGCACTCACTAAATGATGAGCTCTTCATTATACAGCAGGTAAACAAAGAATGTTGACATATAAAACATGGGTGAACGGTCTTTTTGTTGTATATGAAGCTGGCATAGTTTGAGAAACTCCTTTGACTGTGTGTTGTGTGTTTTTTTATTTGATAGTTTTGTTAAAGATTCTCACTGTGGTTGTGCAGGAAAGCCCAGGAGTCCCAGCGGGAGATGAAGCTGCTGTTGGACATGTACCGCTCAGCACCCAAGGAGCAGAGGGACAAGGTCCAGCTCATGGCTGCAGAGAAGAAGACCAAGTCTGAGGTGATCAGCGCTGCACAATGCAGGCGTTTTGTTAACATGATCAGCAAAGTAGTGGAAGTGAATCTATTTGGTCCACTAAGATGTTTCTGGCTTGATTTTTATGTATTTTTTTTACATGGATGGATGGAAGCAGATAGTAATGTGCTTTGGGCTTCCCGTATAAATGTCCTGGTTTCAGGCAGAGGAGCTGCGGCAGAGGCTGAGGGAGCTGGAGGAGAGGGAGAGGAGGGAGGGCAAGAAAATGGCTGATGAAGAGGCTCTGAGGAAGATCCGTTCTGTGGAGGAGCAGATCGACATCCTCAACAAGAAGCTGTCCATAGCTAAACAGGTGCGTGACCTCATAATTAACTCTTAAATACCTCTGCCTGGTTCTTTTCTTCCAACACTCTCGCCTCCTCCTGTAGGAGGAAGACGCTCTGCTGAGCGAGATGGACGTGACGGGCCAGGCTTTTGAGGACATGCAGGAACAGAACATCCGCCTGATGCAGCAGCTCAGAGAAAAAGACGACGCCAACTTCAAGCTGATGAGCGAGCGGATCAAGTCCAACCAGATCCACAAGCTGCTGAAAGAGGAGAAGGAGGAGCTTGCCGACCAGCTACTTACTTTAAAAACTCAGGTGAAGCACAAGGCGACTGCAGCACCCATGTGCGCCCCCCACCACGCTGGTTCATCATGCATAGATTAATTGCTAATTACTAATTAAATATAGTCAATTACTTTCTTTTAATGCGCTGTGCATCATAGTGGTTTGTAACAAACATGGTAAAACAGTTTCTGCTGAACAGTTTCCTGCTTTGTTCTTCTTCTTTTTCTTTTTTTTTTTTTAATAAAAGGGATTTCTTGAAATCGTTGTTTGCGCTGTACCTTACAGGTCGATGCCCAGCTGCAGGTGGTGAGGAAGCTTGAGGAGAAGGAGCGCCTCCTGCAGGGCACCATCAACACTGCTGAGAGGGAGCTGGCACTTCGAACACAAGCCCTGGACATGAATAAACGCAAGGTAACATATTGTTCAGTATGAAGGGGATTAAAGCCAAGGTGAAGGGCAGGAGAAAACCTGCTTGTCCAGGGATAGCAACCACTCCGAATGGCTACTCACCGTGATGCCTTCTGTTTCGTCTGACCTGACCTCGAAGGAAACAGAAGTCCATCGGAGGCCCAGCCTGTTGAGCTGAGCAGTCAGTTTTTGAGGTTGTTATGTTGCCTTGGTACCTTCTCAAGGTGTGCCAAAAAATCCAAGAGCCTTACAGATAAACAACTTTTAACAAACAACAGTTGCACAGTGTTTGAATGGATCAGCAATCAGCACCTTATAGACCTTCTGTGGTTTATCTGCTCAGTGTCCTGGAGAGTGGAGGCACTGCTGACATCAAAACTGTCATATCACTTCCTGACGAACCCCTGCGCACATTTGCCCCAGGGAAATTTTATGATCTTTATTGTTTATTTCATATACCAGCTCATCCTAAATTTTATTGAGCACTCAGATGATACTGATGTAGGCGTTGGCCTCCTACGTAACGGGGAGGAGGAGAACACACCAATGCTTGATTTCTTCATAAACTGTTGTGAGCAGTCAGATCTCGTCTATTGATTTTTAGCTGCAGGCTTCTAACAATACATCTTTCACTGGAGAGCCGGTTCAGCTCAGTAGAAAGTGTCTTTATATTGTGCTTGATCATATGTAAAGCTTAAATAATGTGATAAAATTCCCTGTGACTAGGCTGTAAATCAAATTTCCCTAAGAGGGCAGAATCAGAGCTACAAAATGAGCTGCTATTAAGGAATTTATGCTTTAACTATGTACATCTAAATAGCATTAAAGTAAATAATAACTAAAATCACTTTCACATGGTGTACTGTGTGTGCACAGTGGAGTGCATGGGATTAGAATTTCCCCACTGACAGCTCTCATCCTCCTTCAGGCTCAGGAGTCGGCTTTGCTTTCGGAGGAGGTGCGAACTCAGCTGGAGCAGGTTCAGCAGAGGCTCAACCTGGTCAGAGAGGAGGTCGTTGAGAACAGCATCTCCAGGGAAAAGGAGTCCTTCAATGCCCGACGGGCACAGGTACGCAAATCACAAAGTTTCAGTAAACACGGCAGTTTGAAATGCCATCACATAATCATATGCACTGGGATTACAGACTTTAAATTTTAACTATACTGCTGAAAACAGCCCTACATGTTGATCCTCCACAGCTCTCCTGTATCAGATTGTACCATAAATCTAAATTGGATTTAAAAGAATTTAATTTTCTGTCATAAGACTTTCGAGATGACTTTTTCTCAAAATACACAACATATTTTCTAATTCCTAATTGGATTTGTTTCCTCTATAATTCCAATATTTCCATTTTGTTTCCCCTCCAATGAAACGGTGAAAACTTCTCACATGACTGTTAATGCCACTTTATAGTCTCTTTTCCACGAGTACTTACTCTACGGGACTCGAGTAGCACCTTAAGGTGTTGTTATAGCAACGCAGCTGCGACAAAAAGCGGCACAACAGTGAAGGACGTCGAAGCGAGTGTATACCTGCTGCTAAATCAACGGTAAACATCTGCACCCGGTGGTTTGTACAGTGTTTTTTGAAAGAGTTGCTCTCATGACTCTTTAAGTGATGCCGCTGACTGGCCAATCAGCAGCATGCAGTCTGTTGATGTCACGTTTTTGGATCGCCTTAGATTGCTTGGAACCCAGCTGAGCAGATATTAAAAATGACCTAATGGAAACCCCTGAAAAGTCGAGTCGAGTCAGTACAAAAGGGCTATAAGACTATTATAGTCATAAAGTTTGTTGTTAGATGAGCCCAAAATATAGGGAGTGTCTCCTTTCACTTACAGCCGTTACATCTCCCCATTGTGTTTTTTCCAGGAGGACATTTCCAAACTGAGGAGAAAGATTGAGAAGGCCAAGAAGCCAGCCGAGAAAATCAGCAATGGAGACGATATTCTAAATGAAGAAATAAATGATTATAAGGTGGGTTTAGGTGGTACAGAAGGTAACCGTTTTTATTCAGTCACAGCACTGAGTTTAGAGTGTTTGTTCATTTTAAACTTTTTAAAAAATCAGCTGTCACAAAGTCAACAAAACAAATATACACTTTACAATGCGGGAAGACACAAAGTCTCACAAGAATATTTAGACATTTTGGAAAAAAACATTTATTTGATGTCTTGGATAGTTTTAAAGTAGATGAATTATTGCTGCTAAATTAGGAGTTGGGGCCTCCAGCCAGCCCCTCAGCTTGGCATAAAGTCTTGCAGCAGACTAGCCTGGCTCTCGACGAAGGTGATCCGATGAGTCTGCCAGAACACTTAAAGCTCAGTGATGTGTGTATTATAAGGTGGGTTTTTTTTTTTAGTGTAGAAATTGCAGCATTCGCAGGAGGTTATGTCTTTTAGACACTCTGGGAAGTTAGCAGTCTCAAGCAAGATAAAGCACAGCAACATAAACTCCTGTGCTTCTGTTCCCCATGTGTTCAGTCTTTGTGCTAATCTGAGCTCACAGGTTGCTAGCTATAACTTCCTATTTACTATAAAGACAAAATGAGGCTAACCTTGTGGCAGAGTTTCTCCTCTAACTCTGAAACAGTCCAGCTTTAAATCTGATGACCATTGATAACTTTATGATTCTAATGCTGAAAAACATCTGAGGTCAAACTACAGTCTCACCAACTGTGGGAAAAAATACAGGCAGATCCTGTTACACATAAGTAATGTCTCATGGCTGCAAGCAAAATCCATAAACAAATACACTGACAGGTGTTATAGCTGAGTGTGTTTTTGGGAGTGTGATCAGAGTCTTTATGAGGACAGAATAGAACACCTGGAATTCATTGGATCTGTTAGAAAACAGACTTGCTCAAATTTCAGATTCCTATAGGTCTGTGATCACAATTTTCCAGACTTATCCCCAGAGGCAGTACATATAATTATGATCTGAGTCTTTGGTGATACACACCTGCTTTACAGGATTTCTGTTCTTCTAAGAGAGTGGTTGAGTGTTAAGTCTGGTTTGAGGGCTTCACTCCTGCCCTAGATATTCACTTCCACTCATTAGGAACCATTCAGTCGAGAGAAAAAATGTCTTTTCAGTGTATTGTTCAAACCGTTCCTTCTCTCTCTCTCTCACTCTCTCACGCTCTCTCTCTCTACAGGCACGTCTTACATGTCCGTGCTGCAACTCCCGGGTGAAGGATGCTGTGCTGACAAAGTGCTTCCACGTCTTCTGCTTCGAGTGCGTTAAGACGCGCTATGACACACGCCAGAGGAAGTGCCCCAAATGCAACGCGGCCTTCGGGGCCAACGACTTCCATCGCATCTACATCGGCTAAAAGCCACGCAGCTAAACTCGTGAGGAAGCGGGTCAGCGAGATGAGCTGGAGTAGAGACACTGCCTGGGGAAAAGGCTCAGCACGGCACTCACGTGCCCCCTCCTCCAATTATGTACTTCCCTTACACTCTGATGTGCAAGAGACTGTTGGTGAGGAGACAGTCGATGATTTCAGCTTTGTGTGGGCCGCAGTGATGCTTTGAAGTTTTTGTTGTTGTTGTTGTTTTATTTTAACAATAACCGAAGCTTCTCTCATCCAGTGTCCACTAATTAACTTTTTTTAATGCTGGTGCAGACAGAGACTTGTTTGTGTGCACTTATTTGAAAGCAGCCCATTAAACCAGTTATCAGAGAAACAGCAGTGCTGTGGATGTTGGTGTGTATGTACACTGTGAATGCCATTGTTTCTTTTTCATTCTTTTTTTTTTTTTATCTGCCTGTTTTTGCTCAGTGCTGCCCTGAAACAAGCTGACTTGGTGCTGTATAATTGCTGTTCTGCTAGTTATTAAAATGACATGAAAACTGTTCCGCTTCTTCTTCGTTTTTTTTATTATTAAAACCATGTGAAGTCTTAACGCTTGATCCTGCAGCATTAAAATACAAGTCCCAGTGTGCAAATCTCTGTTTATCCCCGCTCAGCAGAGCTTTTTCCTCCCTCTGCTCCTCCTCCCCGAAGCCCCAGACGTGTTTGCATGCTGGAAACGGTCGTTAGAAACGCTGGAAGGAAGGGAGTGCCGAACGGGAACGGTGGCAAGAAGGGATTTTTCTCTCTCGCTCTCTCACTCTTTAAATGTTATGCAACATAATCCATCACAGAAGTGCATTTTGATGCAAGTTCAGAGACAAAGGAGCACCAAACTCGATCGCTGTGGGGCTCAGTGCTGAAATAAGAGGCTTTAGGAGACTCGTGGCCAGCTCACACTCAGAGTTTCGGTCGTTTTCTTGCAGATCTGCCCAGGAAACAAACCACTTTTGGATTCATACACTGCGGGAGTTTTTTTGTTGTTGTTTTTAACTGTAACTTTCCGTTACGTTTTGACTGGTGATCTCATATCTCTATCGCTGCTGGATCTAATCCTTTAACGGTTTCTTACCAAATATAGCTGGAGCGTCCTTGGGGAGCGCAGAGTTCCAGGATTGGATATTTTTTGCAGTGCTGCCAGAGTTTATAATTAAACACTAATAGTAATAATATTATCCTGAAACCGAAAGGATTTTTAAACCTGTGTTTTATCTGAATTTCAAATTTTACACTTGAATGTCTTATTTTTATTTTTATTTTTAAAAGCGTGCGCCTTCTGCTGCCTGTCCTTCTGCCTGTTGGTGCTACATGTTGATTTAAAACGCGGTGTGCAGTCAGCGAATGCTCCCAACAGAAGCCATTTTTAAGTCTTTGATTTTCTGTCTGAGTCACTGAACACGAGCTGCTCAACCTGCTCTGAGCTGCAGCGTGAACCTGTGCGCGTTCACTTGGCACATTTTCCCCCCATTGTTCTCAAACCTCCTTTCAGTGACTCCGTGCGTCTGGGCTGAGAGCGCAGTGGATGTGCCATGGCTCGGGTTTTGCTTACTATCT